ACCATATTGTCCAGGCTGGTCTCAAACTCCTGACCTCGTGATCCACCCACCTTGGCCTCCCAAAGTGTTGGAATTACAGGCGTGAGCCACCGCGCCGGGCCAAATCCCAGCACCCTGGGAGGCTGAGGCAGGCTGATTGCTTGAGCTCATGAGTTTGAGACCAGCCTGGGCAACAAAGTGAGACCCACTCCCCCGGCCTGTGCAAAAAATACAAAAATTAGCTGGGTGTGGTGGTGCGTGTCTGTAGTCCCAGCTACTTCGGAGGCTGAGATGAGAGGATGGTATGCCTCTGGGGGTTTTAGCCTGGGAGGTAGAGGTGGCAGTGAGCCTAGATCACGCCACTGCACTCTAGCCTGGGCAATAGACCCAGACCCTGACTCAAACCCTGTCCCCACCCCCGGCCCTCCCCCCGCCAAAAAAAACAAAACACAGAATCTGGAAGGAGGGAAAAAAAAAGCAGAGACACAGGAGGAAAGCCAGAAAATGGTAATATCCAAGGAGGAAAAGTTCCAGAGGAAAGAACCCTTAATATACCTGAATTGAAAAGAAGCCCAGTGAGGGTGGTGGCGGGGGGGGGGGAACAAACCCAGGAATTAGGTCCAATGGGATTTTAAAAGAGGAAGAATGTTTACGAGGTGCTTGAGAGAAGTTTCCAGAGAGTTCTGTGGAATTAAGCCAGACCTCAGGGGATTAGGACGGCCTGGCCAGTGAGGAAGTGGAGGTACTGTGAGAGATGGCCATTTCCATCTTGGTGCTGCCTTGGCCCTTTGAGAATATTAATGTACTGTAAACTGGGGACACTGGAAAGTTTCTGTGGCCGCGTATAGACTTGGCACAAGTGGGTGTGAAATATAACACCCAGAGACAAGTGAACAAATAACCAGTCAGGATTAGCCTAAGCTACCCCACAGGGTAGAACCTGGGAGTGCGGTGGTGAGTGACGGGTGCCAGGTAGCGGGGGAGGGGCCTTGTCTCTTAAAATTAAATAACATCCACTACATCAGGCAAAGGTCATGGTCTTAGAGTAAAGATAAGACAAGATAATACCATAAAGCACGTAGTTGCATATTTCCAAACAGCAAACAGCCAATAAAAAAAAAAAAAAGAAATAATCACTTTTTACTCCTTATGGTATAATGTGAAAAAAAAAAATCAGTTTTGCAACCTAAGAAAGTGTGTAGTGAGTGAGATTCTGTGGTAAAGGGAAGTTCTTAGAATGAGTGTCACAATCGTTTCAAATCCAGTCATCCTAGAACAGGAAGAGCCAAAGTCCTATTTACCTAAAAACCAAAGTGCTCACAGTGAGAACAACTTTTAAAATGTCCCTTAAACGTGAGGGGAGGACGGAGATAAGAATTTAGCTTGCTATCAGAGACTCTTGATTCATTGTTGTTTGTTTGTTTTTGTTTGTTTGTTTGTTCATTTTGAGACAGGGTCTTGCTCTGCTGCCCAGGCTGGAGTGCAGGGGTGTGATCACAGCTCACTGCAGCCTCCATGTCTCAGACTCAAGTGATCCTCTCACCTCAGCTTCCAGAGTAGCTGGGACTACAGGTGTGCACCACTGCACAAGGTGTCACTATGTTGCCCAGACTGGTTTCAAATTCTTAGGCTCAAGATA